ATATATATATATATATATATATATATGCTTGGACACTTTTTATTTAACTTCTCGAAACCTCACAATAAAGTTATTCCTTTCTTTTCAAGAGGTATGATGACATATCATATACAAAAGACAAATTTTGATATTAATGTTTCTAACACTCATATGTATATCAGAAATAGATGAAAGTTAATATTACTCTTCCAGAGGCGTTATCAGACCCAATTTGGTCCTAGCAGCCAACAGAGGTGCATATTATCATTTCCCTATTCCACCCAAGCACCGAACTGAGCATCCGGGTGGGTGCATAACTATCAAGTATCAACCACAGCCACGCTCTGCCTACCACGCTGCACTTGCAAGCAGGAAATTGAAATCAAGCTCTAGAAATTAAGCTCCGCTGCCTGCCCGAACTAGCAATGAGATCAACTCCATCACATTTCAATGCGAATCGCCGACATGATATCATCCATTAGACCTAACTAAACCTCTGAACAATGTATATGTCTCGAAATATAGATACTAAACTAACTACTAAATTGATTAGCATAAACAAATGTTAATGAAGGAGACACTCCCATAAAGATTGTCATAAATGGGGTAATTTATTAAGAGAAATGATCCTATCGGATCCGCCCTCACCCATGTATGTAGGACCTTAAAGGATTACCATTAAATTTATCACGGATCTTTAAAAAAATCAAATCTCACACCTATGTGACAACTTTTTTAGAGATCCGTACCAAATTTAATGATGATCCTTGAGATCCTACATACATGAGTGGAGGAGGGTCCTATAAGATCATTACTCATTTATTAATATGAGAAGAATAGGTTTCTTTTAGATCAGTTGGGTGGAACTCCAATGTTACCATTCATGAATAGGTTACCATTCATGAATGGGAGGGGAGGGAAAATAATTATTTAAAATAAATGGTACACGCAAAGAGGTCAAATTGGATAGTTTGGAATGAGTCACGAAGATCGATAATGTTTTTTTGAAACTTTGTTTCTATTCAATGAAGCTCTTACAACCACCCATTTTGAAATTTATAGGATTAAAAGATAAGAATGATTGTAACCTCTTTATACAAAAAGTAAATGGTCTCTTTGTAGACAATCTCATGAAAAATGAAAAAAATATCTAATACCGCATGATCCTCCATCCATTTTTTATGAGCTTTATTATATTTTGTTCAAGACTAAAACTTGATTCAAACCCGAGCTTTTCATAATAAAACTCATTCATCATCATCATCAAAGTCTTTTCCGAACTATTTGAAGTCTGCTATACGAATCTTAATGTGTCATTATGCTCTATCAAGGACCATAACAAAACTTGTTTGCATATGCAAAATTGAGTTGTTAGCCGTGAGCTGTGCACTCATGTAATTTTATTAGTTGATTTTATGCCCCATGTTTTTCACAGAATTTTCTCAACATCATTTACTGTAATTACTGGAAACAACAAGATCAAAGAATTTAAGAAAGCAAAGTTCCTCTAAAATCCCAGCTCTTGAGGATAACAAATTTTTTTACAGTACCTGGAAACCCCCTTAATATTATTACATGAACTGAAAGAATCATAATAATATCAATCCCACCATCACAGCTCAGAAACCCTTTCCCACATGTAGACATTAATCAGATATCACTACCTCAAATCTGAGTTAAATCTAACGTGTAACTTTAAGATGTACAAAAGCACAGGTTACCCTTATTTGATACAAGGCAACTCAAGTTAAATAGATAAACATTAAGGGAAAAAGGATAAGTTAAAAATCTTGCATCTATTTCTGAAATTATTAAATAAGACAAAACCATGCACCTTTAACTGAAAAGCTTACTACTCGTAAGAATTTTCACCATGAATGCCATCGGGAAGATCATATTTACAATAATCAATGTGAAATTAATCACCACAACAATTGGATCAAACACAAGTGGTTGGCAATCTAAACTTTCCCTGTTATTTTATGAATACGTGGCACAGTTGACTATCACATCAAAGAAATATCGTCAAGAGAAAATTTTTAGTGAAACCAAATGATAATGGTCTTTTGCAGCAATAAAATAAAACCCTGGATTCACAAAGGGGAAGGCAGCAAGTGACAATTGAACATGTGAACATATTCCCGAAGAAAGGAATTGTCATGATTTCAGAAAAGCAATAGTCTACTACGCCTTTAGGTACTCATCCCATTCCATATTTCTTTTGTTTTTCCCTTTCTGCAGCCTTCATCTACACAGGTATAGAAACCATCGTGCTTTCTCAATCCAATAAGATCCCATTCTTACTTGCCCATGCAAAATATCCTAACCTTGAACTCTAAAGAAGAAAGGTGGGGGGAGAGAGCTATTAAACTTACCATGCACTTGGTAGCAGCCAAAAACACATCAGGATAGAGACAAGAGCTGCTTGATTCCCGCCTTCTGTTCATTGGTCAGCCTACTTGGGAACTTGATGTTGAATTTGATTCTGAGGTTACCCCTCTTGGAAGGCTCCTTTGGAATTGGCATCCCCTCACCTTGAACAACCTCCTCATAAGAGGGATTAACGATGGCGTTAATTGGAAGGCTAATGGTACGGCCATCAAGGGTGGTGATGCGGGAAGTATGGCCAGCTAGGGCATCAGCCAAAGAGACTTTGAGGGTGGCAACAAGGTCGTTTCCATCCCTTTTGAAGACCGGATGGGGCTTCTCATCAATGATGAAGACTAGGTCTGCTGGAAGCATGTTACGTTGCCTGTTGCCTTTCTCAGGGTTGCCTTTCTCAGGGAACGTAATCTTCGTTCCCTTTTTCCAACCTGGCTTTATCTCAATTGCTAGGATTTCTTCCATGGTGGTGGCTTTGCTAAGAGCATCAATGCCAAGAGAGCAAGCATCAAGTCAAATATTCATTCAATTTTCAAGACTGAATAAAGAAGAACAAGGAAATTATGCTATCGGAAGAACATAGTTGGCTCATCAGGTTCATTGAAACAATAGATGGTGAAGGAGAGTGGAACCCACTCCAACGGTCATGTACTGTATGGCTGGGTCTCACTTTCCCTCATCCATTTAAGATCCAATGGACTATGATTTCACCATAGTCAGTAAGGATTATACTATCCATTAAAAAATATCAATGAAAGGACCTATAAAGCACATGGATATACGTCCTTGCACGGTTTCAGAATATGGGGCTGCTTGATAAGGACTGTATTTATAAGCATGCATTTGCCTAATTGTTTGAACAGTAAGAATGGAATCCATGTACCCACTTCACTAGAAAGGTGGAGCAATTACGATCTGCCGTTTTCAAACTGCAATATTTCCCCTAAACCTCAATAATTATGGCAGTGAAGTCCAAAATTTTATGTGCTTATAAGAATATACATAAAGAGCAATCATATATGAAAATTATCAAGTTATATGGAAATTTCATGGGCTCATAAGAATTTCATGGACTCATTCATGATTTTTCTAAAATATATACATTGTTCTCAACACTAGAACCAACTTGCCACCATCAGAGGACTGAATCGACATCTTTCACTACATAACTGGTCGATTATTTGAGCTTTGCACCTTTTTCCATTCATAAAGTATATACATGAAAAAGCATGTATAACGCATCCAAACACCAAAACCAATTCGAGGAACCTTTCAAAACAAAAACAAGTTAAATGAAAGCTGACTGGTAAGAAATTGGACACTTTTTGCTGCCCATGAATCCTAGATACCTCTTGCAGGCAATAACTTTATTGAGAAGGCTGCTCTGGGCCTTCTTGCAATGGTTCTGGAATCAAGTAAAATGTCGGCAAAAACATCAACCAATAAGTTCATGATCAGCCACAAGAAGAAAAAATGGCAGCAGTACAATGGAAGGATTGTGCTGAGATTAACAGATGGCATATGATTCGAACTAATATCAACTGCAGAGTAACATATAAACACACATCCCCATGAGTTCTTTTAGTGTGCAATTGCTTGCAATAAATAATGAAGTTAAAATTATACTGATTCATCCACAAAAACTAGTTACGAACGGAGTTAAGGACAGTGATTCAAGGGAAATTGCAGCCAAATCAACCTGCTGTTGTAAACCTTACAGGAGAAATTGCACATTTTGTATTTAGTTACAAGTAAAACTCACTTTCACGAAATTTAAACACACATGCCTATGTGTGCATGCACATACACACACACACACAAAGAGATTCCATCCATTCAATCCCAATATTTAACTGGGAATATTATCTAGATTAAGATTTGACAAAAACATTTATTTTTTACTATTAAATAGAATAAATAGGAATGCTGCTGATTTCAAATATCAAAAGAATACAGGCTTGCAGCATGGTGGTAGGCTCTTTCTTTTTCCTTTTGGGATAGGTATGATAGTAGGCCTTTTAGTTGTTCCACAGTTCCTTGTTGATTCACGCTATATCTTACATGTATTTTTCTATTTCGGTGCCATGCAAGTGTCAGACACGTGCTGACACGCATGCCAACTCAGATTCTTTTGGTATCTTCTTCTTGTTTGTTAACCATTGATTACATCATTTTAGAGACTTGCAGAGGCTTGCTTGATCTTCTTCTTCTTCTTCTTCTTCTTTTTTTCTTTTTTTTCCGGCAGACGCGTGAACTTTGAAATGTTTATGGATTCAGCTTATTAAGGTATAATTCATTATTTATTGCTTCTCATCATTGATGGACCATTAATGAAACATTGTTGGATTTGGTTGTCTCTTCATAATATAGCCTTGCCACTCTATCCTCTTGTTCATGGGATGAGGAATATGACAACCCGTACCCATGTCAGACACTGACACATGTATCCATGTCCATGCAACATTCTTAACACTCCAAAGCAAGCATGTGTGAGTATTCGGAGGGTGTATACTTGTGTGCACGTGGACACAGAGGCATACACATTTTTTATCCAAAATCAAGAAGGAGGAGACAAGGGAGCGGTGGTGGCAAGGAAACCCAGTTGCACTGTTGAATGGCAAGAGCATACATGAGTGGGTGAGGATTGGACTGCAGAATCAGCCACAAACTTGGCTGCCAATGGTACACAGATATATTGGCATTTTTTAACAGTTATATATTCCTTTTTCCAGTTTTTTCTTTTTGCAAAGGTGAAAATTATAAATTTTTCATCTCAAAATTACTTTCAAAATATTGCAATATGATATTCTTTTAGAATTTTGAAAGTACAGTAAACATTTCAATACTGGTGGAACATTAGTAGTTTCCGTAAACAGTAATGGTTTAAATTTTCATGTAGGCTAAATGCACAAGCCAATATTCATGAGGGTGTCAATGTCAGCTTGTCATCCTTGATCTTAACATTTCTTATCTCATTCAGCACGGACTGAAATGCCATCAAAAAATGCATAACTTGGTGTAAAGCTTAGATAAACAGAATGTCCATTTTATGCCAGATTCATCATGGTTTCTTCTTATTATTATTATTCTTCTTCCTTTTTTTTTTTTGGGTGAGGAACTCCACCATTGTTTCTTCTTAGAAAATTTTGAACTGCAAGCGAACACCGAACTCTTGTTTTTATTAAAGATACATTCAACCGATTTTAGCGTTCAATCATAGCCATAAGAAGCATCAAATTAGTAGGTAACAACCAGGATGGCAAGGAAAGAACCTAAGGAAATTTTCGTTTTAGAGACAGCCACAAGTTTAAATGGCTTCACTTTTTGACAAGTTAGCGCATACAATACCCAGGAAATTTCAGTGACCAGGGAAAAACAACTGCATAAGGGCCTCATCCAAAATTCCATTGATGTCTCAAGTTGCATAATAAGTACCGTTGATTATAAGGAAGTGCCAATTATCAATATCAAAGGCTCATCGGGAAGATATGATGATGTCCTGGATATTCAAATGTATCTTTCAATGAAGATAAAGCTTTAAACCCAAATAAAAACTTATGAAGAACCAGTATGGAAAATGAATACCCATCTAGATTCCTACAATTTTCCTACCCTAACTTCAAGTAGCCAGCATGGCTAAAGATCGTGTTTCCTAATGCTTGTGAACTTAAACCAGTAACCCTAGTTCGAAAAATATAATTTGTCTCACCACAAAGACCCTCAGTTCTATCTATGGGTTCAGGTCTCTCTCATAATTTACCCAATCAAAAAAAGGAAAACCCCTAAATAATCGGATATCTTTAAAATGGAAGGTGCTCGTACAAGAACTATGGTAGAAAAGAACAAAATGAGCTTGAAATCAACAGAAACAGATGGAAGAGATATATACAATTGCACATGCACACTGTTTAATATCCCAGCATATATATTACAACCATCATAGTTAAATGTTTCTTTTATGATCACTAAGGGCCTGTTTGGATAACTCATTATCATGAGTAATTCCCTGTTTTTATAAAGATATACACTACAAGAAGTTATCGGTTGTTTGGTAACGTGTCTCATAAACTGAATACCAATAGACATACAGTTAAAATTTCAGCCAAAGTGATCACTTATGACAAGGTGTTTAACTTAAGCGTTAATACCTAATTATTCAGATAAAAATAAAAACAAAAACTTAGGTACAGTATACCTCTATCCAATTTTTCCAGGTCTCTTCTTGTGGAATGTCTCGATAAAACCTCTAACAAGAGTTGTAGGCCATTTCCAAGTTCTCTCCACCTCTCCCCTCATAACCAGGCACAGCCTGTTCTTACTCCTCATATGTCTTTCCTCATCCTCTCTCTCCTCTCACGAACCTCTCTTCTCTCGCTCTTCTCCTCTTCTCAATGGGTTTTAGCTTTTTCTTCATTCCTTTGCTTCTATGGTTTAGGGATTTCTCCAATAGATTTCATCATTTTAGCTTGATAAGAGAGAGAATGAGAAAATATTTGGGCTGAACTCATTACAGGGCCATCTATACAGTGGTCTCAAGCTGAAACCTAAGATCTCAGTGTTTCTCTCTCTCCCTCTCTCATATTTTAAGATTCATTTGTGTCTTTCTATCTCTCTCCTAGAAGACAATGTGCTCCTTCCTTCTTCAGTTGGTAGGATTCTCCTGCTCTAGAAGTAAGGGGCACAAGTTTCAGATTTTTCTCCATTAGTTTTTCTTAAATCTGAAGCCTATGATTTGTGTGTGTGTGTGTGTGTGTGTGTGTGTGAGAGAGAGAGAGAGAGAGAAGAATAAGAAGCCAGGGGAACAACGAAATGTAAAACATGCACAGAGCTAGTACTCGTACACCAAAGATTTTATGTTAAGATGAGTGTGTTACATGAAAACAAATCCCTATGCATTCTTTGCACAGGAAGGCATGACTCTTATACTTGCATGATGATATTTCTTGATGTGCCATGAATTACACAGTAAGGGACCCCTGACCTTGGCACAAATGAGAGTGATGGGAACTAATTTGATTTCAGGCCTTGGCCGAACAAAAAATAGCATTAGCTTCACATTAAAACAAAAAATAACAAAAAACAACATTAGCTTCTATATTTAATGGTGTAAGTGAAACATCTAACAGACATGTTTATCAAGAATATACTAATCTTGGGATAAACAATATACTAATCTTGAACAGGATAACACATTTGTGAGAATCTATTTTGCATCCAAACTATAGTTGTTGCAAATGCCTATGATTTCGTATCATTTCAGGAATTGGAATTGCGAGTAGCCAAATGATTCCCATAGTCACTATCGACGTCCGTACAATGCATATCAAATGAAGTAGGATTCCAAACTTTTGGGAATCGCGCTCTGGTCCAATAGGAATCAAGATTCCTACCTTGTTGGAACCGCGATTCCATTAACTTGGAATCAACATTCCTAACTGACGGGACTTGTACACCAAACCACTTGGAACTAAGCCAGAA